TTGATGTCCTCTTATTATTTTTATTTATTTTTTTTAGTAACGGCCGCTTAAATTTTATAAAATAACACACTCCTGTAGTCCTAGTTTATGAATCCGCCTTAACTTATTTACGCTACACATCAAAATTTTCGAGAGTGAACACGACGATTCCATGACGCAGCGGGTGAAACTGCCGATCTCGGAGTTGAAATGCGAAAACTGTCAAATTGTATCATTTTTCAAAAACGCCAGATTTGTTAGACTGTACTTTAGGGGCAACGGAAGTTCTGTCGAAAAAACTTCTTTTCCAATAAATGGGATACTGAGTCGAACGCACTATAAAAATACTCTATTCTATTTGAAAAGAAAAAGTATGTCATTTCCGACAAAACATAGGTGATGTAATGGTACTAGTAAAGTACATTTTTTGTTTAGTCCACCACCTACTGCTTTGTGTTGGTAACATAAAATTTCCCCTATACAGTTAAACAATTTTGGACAGTGAGTGGCAGAACGGTAGACTGTTGATAACACCAGAGAACATAGAGAAGCGTCATAGTTTAAATTAAATGATGACGGTTGAGGACTCCTCGACTTATGTTGGCAACAATGTTTTTTTCTAACTAGGAATAAAATTAACTAGAAAAAATGTCATAATATTTTTAATTTTTAGTTTGGGGACTTTTCAGTTTACTGATTGATTTTTCAGGTATTTTGGTTTTTCAATTTTTCTATTTTTTCAGCTTTCGATTTTTCAACTTCACTTTTTTGATTTTTCGATTTCTCAATTTTTCAATTTTTTAATTTCTCAGTTTTTCGACATTTCAGTTTTGGGATTTTTCAGTTTTTCGATATTTCAGTTTTGGGATTTTTCAATATTTCTGTTCTTCGACTTTTCCATTTTTGACTTCTGGACTTTTCGATGTGTCGACTTTTTACTTTTTCGATTTTTAAATTTTAGATTTCTCAATTTTTTGGTATTTTAATTTTTCGATATTTAAAATTTTAGATTTTTCGATTTCTCGAATTTTCATTTCAACTTTTCCATATTTCAATTTTTCAAATGTTTCGATTTCTAATCTTTCGAATTTTCGACTTCCCGGTTTTAGATTTTCTGTTTTTCAATTGTCATTTTTTCAAATTTTCGATATTTCAATTTTTCAAATTTGACATTTATAAACTGTAAATTTTTCGATTTTTCAATTAATCGATGTTTTGATTTTCCCATTTCTCGACTTTAGAGGGTTTCGATATTCCTGTTCTTCAATTCTTTAATTTTTCGATTTTTCGACTTCACTTTTTGGATTTTTCGATTGCTCAATTTTTCGACTTTTTAGGTTCTCAGTTTTTGGATTTTTCAGGTTTTTCATTTTTCAGTTTCGATATTTCAGTTTTGGGATTTTTCAATATTTCGATTCTTTGACTTTTTTGACTTCTGGAGTTTTCGATGTGTCAATTTTTTTACTTTTTCGATTTTTAAATTTTAGATTTTTTAATTTTTAAAATTTTAGATTTTTCGATTACTCGATTTTTCATTTCAGTTCTACGATATTTCAATTTTTCAGGTTTTCGAATTTTTCAAATGTTTCGATTTCTTAATCTTTTAATTTTTCGACTTGCCAACTTTAGATTTTCTGTTTTTCAATTGTCATTTTGTCAAATTTTCGATTTTTTAATTTTTCAAATTTGACTTTTATAAACTCTCAATTTTTCGATTTTTTAATTAATCGATGTTTTTATTTTCCCATTTTTTGACTTTCGAGGGTTTCGATTTTCCTGTTCTTCAATTCTTTAATTTTTAGATTTTTCAGTTTTTTTAAGGTATCGATTTTTCGACTTCACTTTTTGGATTTTTCGATTGCTCAATTTTTCGACTTTTTAGGTTCTCAGTTTTTGGATTTTTCAGGTTTTTCATTTTTCAGTTTTTCATTCATTTTTCAGTTTTTCGATATTTCAGTTTTGGGATTTTTCAATATTTCGATTCTTCGACTTTTCGATTTTTGGCTTCTGGAGTTTTCGGCATGTCAATTTTTTTACTTTTTCGATTTTTCAATTTTTCGATTTTTAAATTTTAGTTTTTTTAATTTTTAAAATTTTAGATTTTTCGATTACTCGTTTTTTCATTTCAGTTCCACGATATTTCAATTTTTCAAGTTTTCGAATTTTTCAAATGTTTCGATTTCTTAATCTTTTGATTTTTCGACTTCCCGACTTTAGATTTTCTGTTTTTCAATTGTCATTTTGTTAAATTTGCAATTTTTTAATTTTTCAAATTTTCGATTTTTTAATTTTTCAAATTTGACTGTTATAATATATTATTATTTGATTTTTTAATTAATTGATGTTTTGATTTTTCCATTTCTTGACCTTCGAGTGTTTCGATTTTCCTGTTCCTCAATTCTTTAATTTTTTTATTTTTCAGGTTTTTGATTTTTCAATTTTTCCATTTTTTAAGGTTTCTATTTTTCGACTTCACTTTTTTGATTTTTCGATTTTTCAGTTTTTAGATATTTCAGTTTTAGGATGTTTCAATATCCTCGGTTTTTCTATTTTTGACTTCTGGATTTTTCGATGTGTTTACCTTTTTACTTTTTCGATTTTTCAGTTTTTAGATATTTCAGTTTTAGGATGTTTCAATATCCTCGGCTTTTCTATTTTTGACTTCTAGATTTTTCGATGTGTCTACCTTTTTACTTTTTCGATTTTTCAATTTATGGATTTTTAAATATTAGATTTTTCACTGTTTTGATATTTTAATTTTTCAATATTTCTTAATCTTTAGATTTTTCGACTTCCTGATTTTAGGTGTTCTGTTTTTCAATTTTTCGATTTGTTAATTTTTCATTCCCGATTTATTGAGATTTGATTGTTCAGGTTTTCGATTTATCAGTTTTTCAATTTTTTATTTTGGCCTATTTCGGTTTCTCAGTTTTTCCAGTTTTCCATTTTTTCGTTTTTTGATTTTTCCGCTTTTCCAATTTTTCAACTTTTAATTTTTTGTTTGTCGATTTCTCCATTTTTCGATTTTCCGACTTCATCACTTTTCGATTTCTCGTTCTTTTGATCTTTCAATCTCTCAATTTTTCAATTTTCCGAATTTTTAAGTTTTTTGATTTCTCGATTTATCGAGATTTGGATTTTTCGAGATTTTTTTATAAATTGTTCAATTTTTAACTTTTCGATTTTTCGATTTTGACCTATTTCGGTTTCTCGATTGTTCGACTTTTCGACTCCACGATTTCTTGATCTTTTGATCTCTCAATTTTTCGATTTTCCAATTTTTCGATGTTTCGATTTCTCGATTTTTCGTTATTCGGTTTTTAAATTTTAGATTTTTGAATTTTTCTGATGTTTCATTTTTCGATTTTCAGTTCTTCGATATTTCGATTTTTCAATGTTTCGGTTTTACGATTTTTTAAGTTTTCGATTTTTCGGTTATTAGATTTCTCGATTTTTCGAATTTTCGATTATTTTAATTTTTCATTTTTTTTTCTCGCTTGCCTTCGGCGGTTGAGGACTCCAATGTCAATAAGGGTGGTTTTGCAAAATCAGCCTGTATGTCGCATCTATATCAATCTATAATAACACATTTGTCGAGTCAACACAGAATTTTCCGAAACCGCAAAGAACATTCAAAATTTTAAAACACAGATTTTAAGCAAAGTCATATACTTAAAGTAAGTAACTTAACCTAACTTTATTTTCGTTTTCCACTAAGAAATCGTGACCACGTTGCTGAATTAATGTTGTTGGTTTGGGTGAGATTGGTGGACTTTAAAAAAATATACATATTGGGTCACATGTGACCTTGCAACACGATATCTAATAAATGAAATCAAGACGGATTCATAAACAACAAATAGAGGATTACATCAAATTTAAACGCCATTTACAATTGGTACCTATTTGTAACCAAGATTATTGAGCTGTTAAAGAATATACAAAATTCTGTAAAATTGCAATTTTCTTTTTAAATTCAAAATGGGAAAATATGTATTTCACTAAACAAATCTAGCACTCAATGGAGCAGAAAAAGTACTCTAAATTGTAGAATTGTAACGTTCTGATAAGATAAGTCTCCAGTAGTTTTGTTTTAGTACGAATTGCAATATCAAGTTCACTGAAATTTTTCTTATAAGATTTTCTCGCAACAAAATTATTTTTATATGCATCAAATAAAACAAAAACGTTTAGGGATCACTGTAGCATGAAAACATCGCTCCTCGGGAAAATAAACAATATCGCAAACATCAGACCAATCAATACAACAACGTTTACGATTGGTTGTGTAAAATAAATAATAAATCAAAAGAATCTTCAATAATTTTTTGTCCGTTAGTTTTAATTATGATACGAAATTAGTTACCAAAAAATTATTATTTTCCTTATTTACACGACAGCTGGGTAATCTTATCAAAATCTACACAATAATAATTAACAATAAAGATCCAAGTTAAACGTTTTTATTGTTCATGTCGTAATGAAACGTCATTACTGGACTAATTCCAGTGAATCAATAAAGTGTGAAATACACACAATTCTTTGGAGTGAAAATTATTAGAAATCCTTCACGTTTTAGTTTCAAGTTTGCCACACAATTCCAACAACATAAAGTCGAAGATAAACAAAGTCAAGCTACGTTAATCCTAACAAGGACACATTTAAAAAATACGACTTTTATATGATTTTTTAACGCACATTCCGAAATAAAAAAAATACACTATTTTAAATATATTTTGTCGCTAGAATTTCAAGTTTGAACAAGCAACCAAAAATCGTTGTCTTTAAAATTTATACTCCCTGGGGAAGTTATGCGGTCGAGCCAACACTCGCTAACACACGCACACACGATTCTCGTTAAATCCAATATTTAGAGCTCCTATTCATCGAATTTGGTCAGAATTACACGTGTTCTTATTATCCCTGATTATTTTTCCGTGTTTAGCGAACAAACAATTAAATTAATGAAGCAATGTACACACACAGTATTAAATTCGCAAAATTTTCAAAATAATACCTACCAATTTAGCTGGGATGTCATGCCTCAGACAAGCATCATGCGACGTCTCATACAAACCCAAGTACTGGAAAGGCGTGTTCATTCTCGAACTGAGTCCTGGGATGTCGGAACATACTGGTCCAGACATGGTTTCCGCCACCCCTCGACCCGCCAAGTTCGTTCCAGAAATGTCTAAAGACGTCAATTTCGGCAAACTATTAACCAACGTGGTCAGAATTTGGCACCCGTTTTCGTATTTTCCATTTTCTTCTTTAGACTGCGATATATCTAGATGCCTTAGAGTTTTTAGCTTACAAATAGCAGGAATCATGTTCTCAATTCCAGAAACGTTATACAAAACTAGAGAATTTAAGTTAACCAAGTGTTCCGTGTATTCGAAGTTGTCCAAATCGCTGCAGTTGGACAAATCTAAGTGAGTCAAAGAAGTCAAGTGTCTCAACAGCAATAAATAAAAATCAGGCTGGAGAGCATTGAGACTCTTGAGTGTAAGTCTCCTTAACGAAGGTGCGAGAAAAATAAATCCCCTATCATAATGCTGTTCGGTGAATTTCAATTTTCCGAAAATGTTTGTCGGGAAAATGTCTACCTTTTCCCCAATCGTGAGGGAGGATAAGCTCGTGCCGTACTCGGTTATGTGTTTTATACATGACGAAGTCAGATTAGAACAATACGAAATGTCTAACTCTATAAGCTTGTGTTGTAGTAAAATTTCTAAATCCCTATCCGTTATGTCGATGTCTCGTAATCTCACTCGTTTCAATCTTGTGCTCTGCCTATCTTTAAATATATTGATGAAGTTTGAGTTGACTCGGGACATGCTATTTGCTCGAACATCGAGGAATTTCTCGCATATCTCTACAGGCAAGTGTACGCCCTCTTTCAAGTTCAGTCGCCCCGTTATTCTGCACGAGACGCATATTGAATCTAGGTTGTTGTTGATGTAGTTGAAGCACAGGTCGAGAAGGCTTTCGGGGGATGAAGAATTGCAAAAGGAACAAGTCTCTAAAGGTAAAGCACTCGAATGCCGACATATAGATTGGAGCATCTAAAAATATTCGCATTAAAAAAGGCAAAACCCTTCATTTTTCACTCACTTTTGTTAACTATAATTTAATCAATTCCTTGGGTTAACATGACAACTCATCATGTGCATTCACTTAAAAAACCCACACCAACAAGTCCCTTTACAGTTTTTAATTTTTCACACCACTTTTCCAGATGTTTTCCAAACTATTTTTGTTATTGAGTAATTTTTGACATTTTGACATATTTTCACGCTTCCAATATCACCCACTGTCATTTCCAATGTACTACTCGACGTGAAAACATCACACAATTTCAGCACAACGTTACTTGAATAACAAATAGTTAAACTGTTTTGTTGCACGGATAATGTCAAGAATCATAAACGTTAATTCATACTGCAATAAAACGTATTTTTTGTTAACTGTTCACTAAATTAACGTTTTCAGCCCAGCTGATACAAACGTCAATGGTCGAACTGTCAAACTTCTGTCACTCTCCATCAAAATATGGCATATAAAGCACGGTAAAACAACATAATTTAATTTAATTAGCACCGAAACATGTTTGTTTTTTCTAGACTTAAGGAATTCGATGATGTCTTACAAGAAGACTCGATAGACGGGCAAAGACTGCGAGAACTGTCGTTCCATGGTAAGGGGGCGTAGCTCACGTGTGCCCCTTTGTAAAATTATCAATGAAATTTAAGGTATTCCTGACGATCAAGGCAAACGGGCGCTATGTTGGCGGCTGCTTTTAAATTATCTCCCTGTAGAAAAAGCACAATGGCCATCATTCTTACAACAAAAAAGAAACTTGTACAAACAGTTCATAGGTACACCAGTTGAAATTAAGCTAACATAAACTCACTTTCACATTTGACAGAGGAAATGATAGTAATGCCGGGGTCTCAGGAGTGCAACGGTGACGTCACTGAGGGCGACCACCCCTTGAGCATCAACCCTGATAGTCAGTGGCAGACTTTCTTTAAAGATAATGAGGTTTTGCTGCAAATTGATAAAGATGTGAGGAGACTGTGTCCTGATATTTCGTTTTTTCAACAACCAACGGAGTTTCCCTGCTTTGAAATTGTTAATAGTAATGATGTTAAAAGGTTGCATACTAGGGTGCAGAGGAGTGTGCTGAAATGTGCCAATGTAGAGCGCAAAGGTTTAGGAATTACAAAGGTATGTTACTTTAGAATACACATTTCGAATTTAAGTAACACAAGACTAATGTGTGTGAGTGCAAAGACAAGAATCCAACAGTGTTGTGTTGTTTACATGCTGCTTCCTTTTAGTAGCAGGTAAAGTGAGTTTCAGCATGCTGTGAATATGTACCAGTTTTTTTTGTAATGCGGCACGTTTTTTTTTGTATGTTTACACTGTGGTGTTTATTTATGATTATGATATGTGCATTGGAATTATGTTCTTAAAACTGTCAGGAATTTGTAATCATTATCAAAGCACGCCCGTTTTTATCTTAATTTACTTAGTTACATCATTTTAACTAAAAATGCTTTGTTTAGTAGTTGGGAATTTCCATTTAAAAGCCACATTTTGACAACAACTGGTTTTGATGCATGATTTAGATACGATTTTTTATTTTCATTATAAGTTTTCAGATACAAAGACCTTTGTACTTTATTTTCATATTAACATTATGTGCAAAAAATTAATATTTAACTCTTATTTATTGTAATAATAATAATGGGATTAGTAAATACAGACTTGTAAATTGAAATTTAGTTGCTATGCAAAACATGTAAATGTGTGTCAAGACTACCACCTTTTTTTAAAACCAGCGGGACTTGATTTTTTTAAACCTATAAAGAATTTAATTACATTGCGTTTAATCAGTAAGTCCAGTTTTTTGATTTGTTGATTTGTTTGTTTACTCGACTTTTAAAATTTTTAATTTTTCGGATTTTTAAATTTTAGATTTTTTACTTTTTTGTTGTTTCGATTGTTTGCTTTCTCGTTTTTGGTTTGTGGAGGACGCCGGGGCTCGAAAATTTTAGAATACAGTAATGTTGCGCCCGCCTATATTTAATAATGATAAATAAAAATTGTCATAAGAATATCGACGTACCCAAAGTATGTAATATTCAGAACGTTTTGCTGCATTGTAGCTTAATTAATAATTTTAATCGCTTCCTCTGTTTTGAGGAGACAATTTGCTGCCTGCTTAATTGTCGCATTCTTTCGATCTATAAACATAAACAATTGAAGCTAACTGATTTTTTACTTCAGAGGCAAGGAAAGATTGTCTGAGTAACTTTAGACCAATTTTTTCCGTTTAAAAGAGAGAGTCTTGCAGGCGCCTAATTTTTTTTTAATGAAAAAAAAATCTTTGCGCCCGCTTGTGTTTTGTTTTTAAAATACTTTTAAAAAATGTCGAGAACTCGTGGAGTTCTTTATTTGGAAAGAATTTTACAGAATCTAGGGGCTCCTAGCGTCATTTTTTTAAATATGTGGTGTTTCACCGAAAAATTGAAAAATCAGGAATTTCAAAAATCAAAAAAATCCAAAAGTTAAAACATCGAATAAATGAAAATGTTGAAAAATGTAAGATTTAAAACCTCGCAAAATTTTGAAAAATCGAGTAAGTAAAAGCTCAAAAAAAAAACAGAAAGTCGAAATGAGGAAAAATTGGGAAATCGAAAACTGAAGAACTGAAAAATCGAAAAATCTAATAATTGAAAAGCCGAAAAATCGAAAAAGCGAGAAATTGGAAAGTCGATTTGTCATTTTTCGGTTTTTAAATTGTAGATTTTTAAATTTGACATTTTTTCAATTTTTTGATGTTTCGATTTTTAGATTTTCAGTTCTTCGATGTTTCTATTTTTCAAACAACTCGCAAAATTTTGAAAAATTAATAAGTAAAAAGTCAAAAAAACAGGAAGTCAAAAAATCTAAAAATTTAAAAATCCCAAAACTTAAACAGATAAATCGAAAAATCGGAAAATTAAAAACGCCAAAAATTGAAAAAATTTAAAACTTAAACATTGAAAATTTGAGTATTTGAAAAATTGAGAAATCGAGACATCGGAAAGATGAAAAATCGAAAAATTAAAAAATCGGTTAATCGAGAAATTGAGATATCGAAACATCCAAAAATTTAGAAACCCAAAAATTGAAAAATCGAAAAATTCAAATAAATAAATTCCAAAACTGAAACGTTGAAAAATTGGAAAACCGAAAAATCTAAAAGATGAATTATTGAAATACTGAGAAATCGAAATCGAAAAATTTAAAAATTGTGAAATCGAAACATCAAAAAATCAAGAAGTGGAAAAATCGAACATTTTTTTTAGAATTTTTTAATACCACAATATTTCGTTTTTTCATTACGTTTAATTTTTTTAATTTTTACATTTTCTAATATTTCGGTTTCATCAATTTTTGTGTTTGCAACTTTAATTTTTTCAATTTTCAATTCTTTCACTTCCGAATTTTTCAATTTTGCAATTTTTCGGTACTACAATTTTTATTTTTATTTTTCTCAATTTTTTTAGTTTTTTTCGGTTTTTGATTCTTCAAACTTTCGTTCTTTGATTTTTCAATTCGTCGATTCTTTAATTTTTCGTCTCTGATCTTCGATCTGCAATTTTTCGTTTTGGTTTTTCATTTTCTTTATTCTTACAATTTTTCGAGTTTTGTTTTTTCAATTTCAATTCTTTCTATTTTAAAATTAAAAACTGAAAACTCGAGAAATTTTAAATTGAAAAATGCAAAATTTAACAGTGGAAGAAACAAAGAAAAATTAAAAATTGAAAAATTTCCAAATCGAAAAATGGGAGAAACGAAAAATTCAAAAAATTAAAATTGAAAAAACAAAAATATAAATTCTAAGGAAATCGAAATTGAAAGAACAAAATTATATAAAATTGGAGACTCGAATAATCGAAAAGACGAATAATAGAAAAACTGAGAAATCGAGAAATGGAAATCGAAAAATCGAAACATCAAAAGATCGATAAGTCGAGAAGTCGAAAAATCTAAAAATTGAGATATCGAAATAGCTAAAGATCGAAAAATGGGAACATTCAAAATTGAAAAATTTAAACTTAAAAAATCCGATAAATCGAAAATTGAAAAATCGAAAAAGCGAGAAATCAAAAATTCGAAACATCCAAAAATAGAAAAACTGAAACATCGAGTAATAAAGAAATTGGAAAGTCGATTTTTGATTTTTCGGTTTTTAAATTTTAGATTTTTAAATTTGTCATTTTTTCGATTTTTTGATGTTTCGATTTTTAGATTTTCAGTTCTCCGATATTTCTATTTTTCAATTTTTGATTTTTTAAAACATACTGGCGAAATTTTGAAAAATCGAGTAAGTAAAAAGTCGAAAAATGTAAAAATTTAAAAATCGAAATCCTGAAAAATCCCAAAACTTACAGATAAATGGAAAAATCGGAAAATTAAAAAATCGATTAATCGAGAAATTGAAAAAACGAAGAATCCAAAAATTTAGAAACGCCAAAAATTGAAAAATCGAAAAACGAGAAAGCAAAAAATCGAAAGACTGAGAAATTGACACAACGAAAAAATTGAAAAATCTAAAATTTAAGAATTCGAAAAATTGAAATTTAAAAAATCTAGCAATCAACACATCAACAAATCGAAAAATCAAAAACCTGAAAAATCGAATAAATAAAATATTGAAAAGCCCAAAATTGAAAAATTTTAAAACTTAAACATTGAAAATTTGAGTATTTGAAAAATTGAGAAATCGAGACATCGGAAAGATGAAAAATCGAAAAATTAAAAAATCGGTTAATCGAGAAATTGGGAAATCGAAAAATCGAAAAATTTAGAATGCCAAAAATTGAAAAATTGAAAAATCGAAAAATTTAAATAAATCCCAAAACTGAAACGTTGAAAAATTGGAAAATCGAAAAGATGAATTATTGAAATACTGAGAAATTAAGAAATCGAAATCGAAAAATTCAAAAATCGCGAAATCGAAATCGAAAAATTTAATTGCGAAATCGAAACATCAAAAAATCAAGAAGTCGAAAAATCGAAAATTTTTTTTAGAATTTTTTGATATCACAATATTTCGTTTTTTCATTACATTTAATTTTTTAAATTTTTTGATATTTCGGTTTCATCAATTTTTTGTGTTTGCAACTTTAATTTTTTCAATTTTCAATTCCTGCACTTCCGAATTTTTCAATTTTGCAATTTTTCGGTACTACAATTTTTATTTTTATTTTTCTCATTTTTATTAGTTTTTCGGTTTTTCAAATTTTCATTTGCCCCGTTTTTTAATTTTCATTTTCTCGATTTTATATCTCAATTTTTCGTTTTTCTTTTGTTTAATTCTTCAAACTTTCGTTCTTTGATTTTTAAATTCGTCGATTCTTTAATTTTTCGTCTCTGATTTTCGATCTGCAATTTTTCGTTTCGGTTTCTCATTTTCTTTATTCTTACCATTTTTCGAGTTTTGTTTTTTCAAAAACAAAAAAAAATAAAAATTGAAAAATTTCCAAATCGAAAAATTGGAGAAATGAAAAATTTTAAAAATTAAAATTGAAAAAACAAAAATATAAATTCTAAACACTAAAAAATCGAATATTAGAAAAAATAAAGAAAATAAACGGAAACGAAAAATTGCAAAATGATAAATTAAAAAATAGAAAAGTTTAAAAATGAAAACTCGAAGAGTTCTATGTCGTAACTTTGAAGCAACAAAAAAAATTCAAATCGAAAAGTTAAGGAAATCGAAATTGAAAAAACAAAATTTTATAAAATTGGAAACTCGAATAATCGAAAAACTGAGAAATCGAAAAATTGAAAAAATACGAAATCGAAACATCAAAAGATCGAGAAGTCGAAAAATCTAAAAATTGAGATATCGAAATAGCTGAAGATCGAGAAATGGGAACATTAAAAATTGAAAAATTTAAACTTAAAAAATCCGATTTATTGTTTTAATACTTGTCGGAGTGGAACAAGTATAACACAATCCGTTATTTAAAAAATAATAATTTAGACTTTTATTTCAAAAATTATGCACAATTTGAAAGTCAAAACAGACAACTTTCGAAACATTTAACCAATTACACACTTTCTAGCGACCTGGAAATTTTTTCAACTATAAAGGGCAATCTGTAGATAGTCTTAGTTGCTGTAATTTTAATTTAATATCCATTATGATTTTGTTTTTCCATTTGAAA